ATATATTGTTAAACCAGTAACTATAGTTAGTTACGGAGCTTGTCTAAAATTTACAGCAATTAGCTGGAGAACGATGTAGTTTTTCCAAAGTACTGGTATTAATTAGTCAAAAACCTTGGGCAGGACCACAATAAATAACCATTCAACAAATTTAATTAGTATAAAATTTAAATTTGATGTACAAAAATTAGCTTAAAAATACTACTTGTCCTAAAAAAATATTCGAGGGTTTTAATTATTTTAGCTTCTTTTCTAATGAAAGTTTTACTTTGAATGGTAATAGGCCAGATGGCTTGAGTATAGATAGATATATAGTTTGGCATGAATGTGGTCACTCACTGGTCAAGGTATCCTATATATCCTTATCCAACATACATACATATATGTATGTATGTATGTATGTTGGATAAGGATATATAGGATACCTTGACCAGTGAGTGACCACATATATATATATATATATATATAAAGCTGTTCAGCTTTGCAATTAGTTAACAGAACATGAAAATAGATAATGGTCTAGAAAATTCATCTCGATCTCTCAATAATCAAGGATTAGAAGATGTTCGTTTTCAAGTTTTGTGGAAATCATGCATGCATTAATGCTTGACTCAGTTATATAATTAATACAGGTATTTAAATTAGTAAATCCCACAGAAAGATAATTGGAGTAATTAACCAAAATATGATTATAAAGAATCAAGGTGAGAAAATAGACAGCATACACTCTTAAGGAATATGGTCAATCCTCGCAAAGATCTGAGTCAGAAGTACACAGACGACTAATATATAGCAGTCAGCTGACGTATCAGGAAAAAGAATGTAATAAAAAGAAATGAGTCATCTCTTCCCTTGGATACCTTATAGGGTTCAGGCTTTTAGGCAGACTTCAAAGCACATTTTTCTCCTATTATTTTCAGGCACTGGAATCTTTCTGTTAGAAAATAGAAACACCCAGCATCACCATGCATGTTTGACATTTAGAAACCTACATATTCCTTCAACAGCTAGCTGATAGCTAGTGTGTGTGTGTGTCAATGGGCTAGCCCTTCACATCATCACATAGCTAGCTAGCAAGGATAATCCTTTTTGTATGAAAGTTCCCTCCTAGCTTGAACATAGAAAAAAAAAA